AAAACCAGGGAATGTATCCACTGTTGCTCAGCATGTACTAATGAAATGGAATGTTTCTTAGTTATCAGTATTGTTATTAGAGCTGAAGATTAGCAGCTGTTCAGATATTATGAGAATTTGCAGTTTGTAACTGAGACTGGCTTTGAACTACAAATTCACCTTTCCAGCTTTTGTTTTTTGTGTTTTTTTTTTGCATTCAGACAACTTCTCTGTACTTCTGTTGATTTAGTGGTGGGCAGAGCACAGATAGCCCATTGTGTAGCTTTGGGCTTATAACACAATATCAGCACTGTTGATTTAATGGTGAGTAGAGCACAGATAGCACATTGTGTAGTTTTGTGCTTACAACACCAACATTGTTGACTTACTCTTTAAGCTGCTAGGGTACATGTACTATTTCCTATTAGATTTGCTATTACTGGTTTTCCAGCATTTCAACATTTTTGATCATATTTATAATTGTTTCACCAAAGATTAAATTTTTAATTTGAAGAATATGTACTGTTCTGCACCACTCTTGATCATGCTCTTCTAAATTTTTGCCCCGTTTCAAATTTCTATCATTTCTCCAAGCATTATTCTCCGAGATGATTATTACCCTTTAGCCTAAATTTACGTAAATAAAGAATTTCCCGTTACCTTTGACCCTGACATTAATATTTGCCACTCGAAGTGCTAACTAATCTGTGCTATGGCCATTGTTACTATAAAGCTAAATGTAGGTTGATGATGAATATGCGATGAACTTTGATTGCGATACGTAATCTGTGTAATGACTTTTAACTTTAAGGATCATCCCTAATACTTTGAATGTAAGAAATGAGGTAGAAAATTACGAGGTTGAAAGATAAAGTGTAGAGACCAAAAGTGGAGAGTATTGTAAGAGAAACAGTTTCAGACCTGCAGCGTTTTACTGATGTGATGACAAGATAAAAATGTTTTAGTGATCAGTTGAGAAAAGTGGCTCACTATTTCACGACGTATGAAAGACCAGCTGTTCAGTTTTATGGTTTGGAAAGTTCTTGATTCAAGACTGTTGTGTGCGTGCATATTAACTTCACACTACCAACATATTTCACCTATTCTCTACGACTTGATCAACGAAAACCAGAAATTAGGTCGTCCGAATCAAGGCTAACTACTTATTTACGTATACGTGACAGTTGTTAATAACCAAGGACACAGTATGTACCAACCAGTGGCAGAAGGCAGATGTTGTGTATCCACGTGATTTGCGCACTTGTCTCCCATTTGTGAACTCAGTACACATTAAACACGTTTAAAGCTGTGTACCTGCATCATATATATCCCTTTAAAAACAAATTAAGTCGTGATTGCAATATTAAAGAGTCAGAGTCCGATGCATTCAGAATAACAATAAGGGCCATCAGTTAAAAAATAGTGAATTAGTTTGACATTATTGTGTTTAGTGTTGTTGTTGTGTTTTTTTTTCACGAGAAATTTGAAGAGCCTCTGGGGAAATATATGATCCGTGACAGTAAAATTTTTGAATATGTGGTAGATTATACAGAAATGTATGAGAAATTATAAGTCTATTTGTGTATTCGTTACAGTCTTACAGAACAAATTTAAAACAGACGTAACATAGTAGATGTACTTCCGCAGGATCCCCGAAAGTTTTCTGTTTTAAGAGTAACAAATATTTTTATTTCTTACTTCTGAAATTCATATGTCATGCTGTGTTGTAGCCTACAGATTGTATAATTCTTCTCGTGATTCATGGCATGCACACGTTTTACTGATGTAACGACAGTACCAATTGCAACATTAAGCGTCCCTTATGTGACGTCATATTAATGTCTACTTACTTACTGACAGACAACACACTGCTGTATGATGATACGAGTGGTTAAAACAAGTGACCCCTCCAGGCGGTCTTCGGCCCCCTTTCGGGGAAATAAGAAAGACTAGCTATAGTTCGGGATTCTCAGTGTGTGTGTTCTTTGAACATTAGGTCAGATTAAATAGGAATATATCAGGAGAATATATGCTAGTCTGGGTGTTTGCGAGCCGGGTGTGTCCAAGTAGCTAGCATGCTCGGACTGTGAATCCGAGGGTTTCTGATTCGCGTATCGTTACCGCAAAAAAGTGCTCTGCACTTTGTGGTCGTAGATGAATCATGTCAATGAAATCCCCAATTACCCAGTAGTAAGAAAACAAACACTGTGCTCCTTACTCACATACACACACACACACACACACACACACACACACAACACACAGGATTTATAGAGGAATCAT